TTGCTATTGCTGCATACTCAGATGGAGAACTTGGCAGTGCAGGATTTCTAGGAGAGTAACCTTGTGCAGGATTTCTAGGAGAGTAACCTTGTGCAGGATTTCTAGGAGAGTAACCTTGTTATTTGTATGCCAATTCTTTTAATCACAATTTAATTTATAGTAATTGGGTAATACATAGTATATGACTGTCAGTTTAATTAGTCTCCTTTTAGGCATTTAGAGAATTCCAACTTTTGTTATAAAAATTACAGTTCTTGAAGCTGGGCATGGTGGCACATACCTTTAATTCCAGCACTCAGGAGGCAGAGGCAGGTGTATCTCTGTGAGTTCAAGGCCAGCCTGGTCTACATAGCAAGTCCCAGGCCAGCTGGGGCTATGGGAAGACCCTGTCTCAAAAAGACCACCCCCCCCAAATTACATTTCTTTATTTAATTGTATTTATTTATTCTGTATATGTATATGTGTGTATATGTATGCACGTGCACATGCTAAGGTGGAGACAAAATTTGGAAGTTGGCTCTCTCCTTCCACCATACGGGACTCAAGGATCAAATTCAGGTCATTAGGTTTGGTGGCAAGCACCTTTACCTGCTGAGCCATCTCATCTGCCTCAGATCAATTTTTACAATTCATCTTTCTTAAGGGAAGACAAGGAATCCATCAAAATGCTAACAGTGGTTGCATTTTGGGGGTAGAGCTCCAGTTTCTAATATTCTTTAATAGGCTATGTATTAATAGTCATTAAATTTATTCATTAAATTTCTCTTCCTTTATTGTTGTTGTTTTGAGACAGGGTCTAACTATACAGTCCTGGCTGACTAGGATATAGCTATATAGACCTGGCTGACCTCAAACTCACAGAGGTCTGCCTGCCTATAGGCCTGAGTGCTGGGACTAAAGGTGTGCATCACCATGATCAGCCCTCCAATTTCTCTTTTAAGAACTAAATTGACATGCTCAGAGACAGAAACCAAGCTCAAACAAATTAAATTCAATTTTATCAGTCACGATTTCTTTTGTTGTTGTTGGTTTTTTGTTTTATTTTTGGAGATTGGGTCTCACTATGTACTCATTATATAGCTGAGGACAAACTTGAATTTCTGATCCTCCCTTCCTCTATCTCCCAAGTGCCTAGAATTACAAACATGAACCATCACATCTAGTTTATATAGTACTGGATATCAAGCCAAGGCTTAATGAATACTAGGCAAGCATGCTATCAACTGAGCTACATTCCCAGCCCTGAAAACAATTTCTGGTATCATAACTTTAGAAGCTATAATGAAAATGACTATGGTTTTTATAAACAATACTACTTACAAAGATGTCTATAAATATCCAATCACCCTGATAGCCGCTACTTTCACTGAGTTCTTTACAATGTCCACTTTCCCTGTAGCATTATAGTGGTAGAAAAAAACAGTCTGGATTTCTGTGCCCACTTGAATGCAGAAACATGTGGGAAATACAATAAACGTAACCTCTATCGCCAAGTTGTACCCTATCTTTGCGGGCTCATGATCAAGTTCCTTTCTTGGTTTGATACTAGGTGACCAAAGCACTTAATAGCTATCTCTAAGATCCCATCCTTTCAATAAGTCTTGATAGTTCAGATAAACTAGGCTAGGTCTTTCCTTCCAAGAAGGACTTCTCCGTGGCTTTATTTGGAACCAAATCTAAACATAACTACAGTTTACAAGTTACATTCAAAAGAATGGGTGTTCTACTGAAATCAAACATGTACATTCAAAATATGTGATGCTGTATTTAAATTTAGATATTCTCTTTAAAAAGGCATTTTTTCAAGAGACATTTTTGTTTCTACTTGGTATTTTAAGACTGAATAAACTTACCTTTTCATCAAGCATATCAGGGTGCTCTGTCAGCCAGACACACAGACACTGAAAAGCAGCCACTATCATGGAGTGCAGGTCCCGGGAGTGAAGAGGAGCAGGCCGACTGCATTGGTACACAATATAGCTGCACACAGAACTGATGGCACGCTTCCGGTCTCCAGAGTCAACCATCACCTTCACCTAAGCATGTCCATTTAGAGAACAGAACCAGTTAGTCAGAAACCACTACAACAACTTCAAAACATCTGTCTTGCAACTCAGTCTGTCTGAGAATGTGACATACATTTTTAATGCTTTTTAAATACCTATATGTGGGAACAGACTATTCCAGGTATATCACACACTACAAAGAGTACATTTTTCAAATCCTCAAACAGTGCTTTATCCTAGCATCTCTTTCCACAACGTAAATCCTATAGCTCTTGGGTGCACTTGCTTGTCACTGAACAAACTGAAGAAATGACTACCTAAAGATGTGTGTATTTTAAAGACCACCCCCATCCCGACCTCATAGTAATGTTCTTTATACCACACACGGTTTGGTGCAGGTACTTAGATTCAACAACCAATTACAGTAAACTGTACATGTTAAAAGTATGCAATCTCATGGGGCTGGAGAGATGACTCTGCTGTTAAGAGCACTGGTTGAATCCCAGCACCCATATGGTGGCTTACAACCATCTGTAACTCCAGTTCCAGGGGATCTGATGCCCTCTTCTGACCTCTGTGGGATCTGCACAACATGGGTGCACTTACACACATGCAGGCAATACACATACACATAAAAATGGATAAATAATAATTTAAAAAAAGTATGCGCCGCATATGGTGGTGCACACCTTTAATCCCAGCACTTGGGAGGCAGAGGCAGGAGGATCTTTGTGAGTTCGAAGCCAGCCTGGTCTTACATAGTTAGTTCCAGGACAGCTGGGGCTACAGGGAGACCCTGTCTCAAAAAGACCAAAAAAAAAAAAAAAAAAAAAAAGTATGCGAACTCCAATTTTATAGAAGTACATACTGTGACCTGTATATACCAATCAGATGAATATGAACATATGCATCACTCCCAAATCTCCACCTGCCCCTTTGTAATCTCCCTCCTACTCCTCTTGGCCACCTTGGAAAGGAACTGCTGATCTGCTATTATAATAGATTAGATTCTATTTCCTAAAAAAAAAAAATTTTTTAATCTTTTTTGACAAAAAGGTCTCCCTGTAGCCTCAGCTGGCCTGGAACTCACTATGTAGACCAAGCTGGCCTTGAACTCACAGAGATCCACCTGCCTCTCCCTCCCAAGTACTGGGACTAAAGGAGTGTGCCACCACTGCCAGCCTCTATATTTCCTAAAATTTTAAAAAATATTTTATTATTTTTATTTTATGTGTATGCATGAACTGCCTGCATGTAGGTAAGTGCACCCGTGTCGTGCAGTGCCCACTGAGGACAGAAGAGGCTGTTGGATCCCCTGGAACTGGAGTTACAGACAGTTGTTAGCTGCCATGTGGGTGCTGGGATTCAAACCTGGGTCTTCTGCAAGAAGAGTCAGTGTTCTTAACCACTGAGCCATCTCTCCAGCCCCACATGCCTGAATTTTTTGAAAAAAAGTTTCATTTATTTTATTTTACGTATTCTGCCTACATGCACCAGGTATATACAGGACTGTGGCTGTTCATGAGACTGGAGTTACAGTTATCAGCTGCCACATGGGTGCTGGGATTCAAACCCAGGTCTTCTGCAAGAACAGTCAGTGTTCTTAAGTGCTGAACCATCTTTCCAGCCCCCCATTGCCTAAAATTTATATTGTTTGACAGTATATACTTTTTAGGAGTAGGGGTGGCTGGCTTCTTTTATTTAGCATAATTATTTTCAGATCTATTTACTTTTTGTGTCATTTGTTTCTTGTTATTGTTGAGTAATATTCCATTACATAGGATGCCATAATTTGTCTATCCAGTAACCTGCTTTTTTTATTTTATGTGTATGAGTATTATACCTGCATATATGTAAGTGTACTCATGTCATACAATGCCCTTAGAGTTCAAAAGAGGGTTTCAGATCCCCTGGACTGAAATTATGGACAATCATTAGCCACCATGTGGGTGCCAGGATTCAAACCCAGTTCTTCAGAAAGAAAAGTCAGTGTTCTTAACCACTAATTCATCTCTCTAGCGCCACCTCTGCCCCACTCCATAATCTGTTAATAGACATTTGGGTTATTTCCAGCTTATAGGTATTACAAATACAATTGCTATGAACAACCATGTCACTGAATGGATATATGTTCTCTAGTATCCTAGGAGTGGATTGACAAGGTCATAAGACAGATACAGAGTTAAAATTTTAAAGATTTCCTAATGCATCCCCAAAATGGTTATTCCAGTTAACATTCTCACCAACAACTTCCTTATATCTTCACCAACATAATCTTTCCCTGTATGTGTGTGCTATATACACATATGTGTGTATGTATATGGATACATGCATCTGTGTGCATGCAGAGGCCCAAGGACTATTGGCTATTTTCCTTTATCAACCTCTGCCTAATTCCCTTGAAACAGGAGGTCTCTCACTGAACCTGAAGCTTACTGTTCCAGCTAGACTGACCAGTAAACTCCCAGACCTACTTATCTCTATTCCCCAACGATGAAGTTATAGCTATGGCTTTTTATGAGGGTGCTGGAGATTTGAATTCAGGTCCTCATGCCTACCCAGCAAGCACTCTTATCCACTGAGCTATGCTCCTAGCCCTCAATTTTAGCCATTCTAATGAGTATGTAATAATATCTCAATATGATCTTATTGCAATCCCTAGTAAGTAATGATACTGAGCACCTTGTTCATGTGCTTATTTGCACCCACAAAACACTCATATATATAAAATAAATAAATAAAATAAGAAAGATGCCTTCAACGGGGCCGGCAAGATGGCTCAGAGGGTAAGGTGCCTGGTGCCAATCCTGACAACTTCAGTTCAATCTCTAGGACCCACATGGTAGGGAAGAACCAATTCCTGCAAGTTGTCCTCTGACTTACACGTGTGTGCCAAGGCACGTGCATTCACATGTTCATATGCACAGACACACACAAAATAAAGGTAATTTTTAAAAATGCTGTCATCAACAGATTTCCTTATCTTAGAAATCTGCACCACCACAATGCTGCCGCCACAGAAAGGAAAGGCTATGATTTAGCTGTGAAGACTTCTCTATGTAATCTAGTTGAATACTTTATCGGATATGCTTCAGAAAGATTTTCTTCCAGTTTATGACTTGTCAATGTTATTATTTTGTTTTAAAGGAACAGTAGCTCTTAATTTTGCTGAGGTCCAATTTATCAATTTGTTCTTCCATGGTGTATGTAATAGCTAAGAAATTTTTGTATACTTCAAAGTCACAAAGATTTTGTCCTGTCTTCTATAAGTTTCAGAGTTCAGGTTTTTATACGGTTAACATTGACTGTCAAGTTGACGGACTGTGGAATTACCTAGGGACAAGGCTCCACACATACCAATGAGGGACTGTTTAGATTAGATTAGCCTCTAGGCAAGCCCATGAGGGATTATCTTGATTAGGTTGAGGCAGGAAGGGACTCCTTAAAGTTGAGTGGCCCTATTCCCTGGGTTTGAATCCTGACTGCATAAAAAGGAAGAAACAAGTGAAGGACAGGCTTTCATTTGCTCTCTTTCTAAATGCAGACTCAGCACAACTAAGTGCTTCAAGCTTCTGCTACCTTGACATCTCCAACATAATGGACTGTCACCCTCAAACTGTGAGCCCAAATAAACCCTTCCATTCTTAAGTTGCTTTTATCAGGGTACTCTGTTATAGCAATGTGACAAGTAATTGACACATTTTTACAATTAGGTCTATAATCTATTTTTAGTTAATTTTTGTACCTATCAGATAAAATACAAGTTTATAAAACCAAGTTTTCTACCAACACCACTCGTTGAAAGACTAAGGTTTCTCTCTAGAGCTATCTTTCCATCATTGTCAAAAATCAGATAGCAACTTATGTGTAAGCATGAAATTTCAATTACAGACCACTCACTAATCTATTCACTCAACATGTTCTAACACCACTGTTCTAATTATTTTATCTTTACAGAAAGCTAAGAAATCAGGTAGTATTAGCTCTTTATAACTGATTATAGAGGTCCATGGCAGTATTCCATCTAAGCTATTTATATCTTACTACTGAGAGTGTACCAAAGGTCATAGAGGCAGCATCTTGCTCTCTGTCTGATCCTCCATGTCCCATGAATGACTATCCTTATTTTTTATATCAACTGCTCCTCAGAAAACTATTTTGTCAGCAGATTTTTGAGGTAAGTGCTAAGTAGTGTTGAGAACATACTAAGTTTTCTTGCCTATTGTAAGTTACAGCCTCTGATTCTTTGATCCATGTCTTTGAAATAAAGGCTTGAGCTTCATCATCCCAGACAGCAGCTCTTTGTGATAAGTATGGCACTGACTAACCACAAGGATTTTATATCCTATCACATTTGAAGCCTCACAACACCAGGAGGTCTATCCAAGATAATCTTCCCATTCACTAAGGAAAAAAAATTCAGATGCTAACGAGGATGTGGAGAAATTAGAACCTTTCTATGCTGCTGATATGAATGTAAAAGGACCCAGTTGCTGTGGAAAACAATCTGCAGTTTCTGAAAAAGTTAAATAGAATTGCCACATACCCAAGGATTTCACTCTTCAGTATATACCCCAAAGAAAATTCAAAGTCAAAACAACACATGTTCACATATATTCACAGTAACACTACTAGTAACATAACAGTTCAATGAGGAAAACAGCAGAAATATCCACTGACTGATGAACAAATAGTGTAATACACACATTCAACACAGTATATGCAACCATGAAAGGGACTGAAACTCAAAAAAGTATGTCAAGTGAAAATACTGGGCACTCTGAAATAACACACTGTATGATTTTCATACTACGTGATTCCATTTGGACGAAATGTCCTGATTAGGTAGATTGAAAAGATAAAATGAAGATCAGTGATTGTTGGGGGAGGCAGTGGTTGGGAGGAGGGTAGGCAAGGAAACAACTGCTCCAGGGGTAAGGGCTTCCTTTTGAGGTAAAACATTTTGGAGCTAGAAGTGATGGGCTGCACTACATGGTGAAGGTACTGATAGCTACTCAATCACTTGCTTCAAAATGGTTAGGTTTATGTCATGAATAGAGAGAGAGAGAGAGAGAGAGAGAGAGAGAGAGAGAGAGAGAGAGAGAAACAAGTACAAATGGCCTCCAGTTCTAAGGTTCCACAAAACTGAAATAATAATTGTGAAAGAAATTTGACTATATTGTTAATTTTTGCTTAACTCTGAAAACAGAAGAGAGTAGTCACAGATAATCCCAACTGGTATATTTTAGTATTTTGGGATATTTACGCTTTTTAAATTAATAAATAATCCTTTAAAAAAATTTTTTTGGTCTTTTTGAAACAGGGTCTCCCTGTAGCCTCAACTGGCCTAGAACTCACTATGTAGACCAGACTGACCCCAATCTCACAGCAATCTGCCTGCCTCTGCCTCTGGAGTGCTGGGATTAAAGGCCTGCGTCACCATACCTGGCCACTAAATATCTCATTATTATATGCAAATAATAACCAATATTAAGATGTTTTCTGTAACTAATAGTAGAAATATTCATACCCTTTGAATTTATTTTTCATGTTATAAAATTTCACTTGTAGGCTCAATTTATATACTTCAGATATAAAAGATGTTTGAGCTGGGTGTGGTGGTACATGCCTTTAATCCCAGCACTCAGGAGGCAGAGGCAGGTAGATCTCTGTAAATTTGAGGCCAGCCTGGTCTACATAGTGAGTTCCAGGCCAGCTGGAACTACAGAGAGACCCTGTCTCAAAAAGAAAAAGACAATATAGATAGACAGATAGACAGACAGATAATATAGAGATAGAGAGACAGAAAGACAGATATGAAAGATGTTTGAGTATAATATATAATACCCACAAAAAAGGGTTAAAGATACAGAAAAAAAGAGCCACGACCCAAGTCTGCTGAGTTAAAATAAAGGACTGCCCTTACCTTTGCCAGGCCAGAGAGGAGCTCCAGGGCCGCCAGTGATATGCTCATGTCTTGCCGCCACTGGGAGTTAAGTCTTTGGGTGACAAGATGAATGCTGCGAATCAGGAGCCCAGCAGCTGAATCTGTATTAAGAGCTAGGATATAACCCAATGCCACATCCCACAGGGAGGGAAAACAACTAAGCATTAGTAACAGAAACACAGCATTCCACCAGGCACAGACCACAGCAGCCACAGTGAGCACAATGGGCACCCACACAGCTATGCTCCCCGCCCACCGGCCCAAGCACCAGGCCTGACAGACAGTGCACAAGGCACACTCAGGACCAGGACAGCTTCTAACACCCAGCCTACAGACTCACAAAGACCATGTATGGGACTTGGCAGTTTTAGTAGCATCCTTATAAGGAAAAATTATGTAAGTCTTCAATATTTTTAAATTAATAACTCAGAGTTGCATTTTCAAAAAGAACAATGAAAAGGCAACCAAGTATTTCCTTGGAATTTACAGAGGCAAGAATTCAACTTTTATAGCCTCCTCAGGTGCTAGGGATTTCCCTAAAGCATCTGCTGAAATTACAGGGTTTGAATTAGTAAAAATTACATGCAGTGCCTTTTCAAACCCATTTAAACATTTAACTCTTGAGACTATTTTAATACCTTTAAAGTTAAATAACCAAGTCACTGTTTTTATGTGGCCTTCAATTTTACATTTACAATTTAAGTAATTACTACTTAGCTAACAGTGAATTAGGAGAAATTAAACTAGGACAAATTAAACTGAATTTATAAAGGAAGCTTCAGGGACGTTATACCTGTGGATCCTATCAGAAAGAGGGCAGTGACAACAGAAAAAGGAAGGATCATTAAAGAGAGACATTCATGCGACACTAACACAAATCTGGATTTCTCAGTAAGAAATATTATACAACATAACAAGCAGAGCTCACTAACACCAGTTCAAAATACTGAACAAACAATCACTTCAAACACTTATATAGAACATATTCAGTAATGCAAATTCTGTAATTTACAAATTTTATGAAGCATGAGAAATAAAAATTCAACCTAGAGAATACCTTAATCTACATAATGAATAACAGCTCTTCTTTATAAATGCACATTTAAATGTATTAAATATCCACATATCACTTTATGCAACTGACATGCTGAAGGATACTTATTATAAAACATGCTTCATGAACTTGTGAACATGGTTCATGGATTCTTCAAAAGATTAAAAAATTAAATTCAACCAGGCATGGTGGCACATGCCTTTAATCCTGGCACTTGGGAGGCAGAGGCAGGCGGATCTCTGTGAGTTCAAGGCCAGCTTGGTCTACACAGTGCATTCCAGGCCACCTAGGGCTACAGGGAGACCCTGTCTCAAAAAGACAAAAAATAAAAGATTAAATTCAGGGGCTGGAGAGATGGCTCAGCAGTTAAGAGCACTGAAGACCCAGGTTTGGTTTCCAGCACCCACATGGCAGCTGAACCATCATCGGTAACTCCAGTTCCAAGAGGTCCAATGATCTCATCTGATCTCTGTGAGCACTGAATGACACGGGTACACTTATGTAGGCAATACACTCATACACATAAAAATAATAAAATATTTTTTAAAAAGCTAAGTTCACATCTAAGGAACAAGATATCATTCCGATCTAATGGGATAATCAAAGATTCAATGCACTGTAAGTATTTGTGTGTAAAAACAGAAAAGTACCCACAAATTCACTAAATCCATAAAATACTCAATGTAAAGGGCATCACTGAATATGCTTTGCTGGCAAATGTCCCATTTAGCAAGGCAGAAAATGCTTCTTTATTCTTGGGACTGAGTTATCTAACAAGATAGGTTATCTAAGTTTCAACATGGAGACCCATGTTCTTCTGGGTCCCATCTAATAATGTATACTCTGTCACTCCCATCACAACTGCAGTAACTGATTCACTGGCCATGTCTCCCAATCCTCTGAGAGCTCAGAGGCAAAACCCACAACTTACTTGACCCTACATCACCTGCACCTGGTAAAGAATCTAGAAGTATCTCCTGATTTCTCATTATAAACATTTACAAAAACCTAATAAATCCTAAAATAGAGCTAATAGAAGTTATAAAAATACTTCAATTTTTCCTTAGTTTTTTTCAGACTAATGCATTCTATTATACCTAAGTAGACAAAATTTTTTGTTTTGTTTTAAACTTAGCTTTGCTTCTTTTGTAAATCGAGAATAACACAACTGTAAAATTTAATACATTTTTTAAAAAACACAGCTTACCATAATCCCTTAGGAGAGCTTGTGCAGGTCTCTCGCTATCAGGGGTTGTGGGCTCTGTGCTTCCTCCACTTGCTGAACTAATACCACTATTGGTACGACTATGACTCTTCAGGTTATTTTCTCCACCACCCTAGTGAAATGAACATGAATCAAGTTTGTGGGGATTACAGTACAGTTACAAGTACAAATAGAGGTTACTCATTAGTGACTTGGTTGAGCTGGGGCTATAGTTCACGGAGTACTTGCCGCACATGTTTGAGGCTCTAGGTTCAATTCCCAGTATAGGGAAAAATTTTTTTTTTAATTTTGTTGATAAAATGGAACAAACATTCTTTTAAAAAGAAAAAGACATTTTATGTGTGTGCGCCTGAGTATATGTATTTGTACCATATGTGTAGGTGCCCACAGAAGCCAGAAGAGGGTGTCAGAACCACTGGAAATGGAGTTATAGATGGTTGTTGAGCTGCTCAATATGGTTGCTGCAAACTGAACCTGGATCCTCTGCAAGAGCAGCAAGTGCTCTTAAATGCTGAGCCATCTCTCTGACCCCAAAGAGAACATTCCAATAGCATAATGTGAAACATGGACAAACACTGACAGGGATTAAAACCACTATAGTACTTTTGCTGAGATAACATCTGCTAAAAAGGTATGAAGTGTTTGATAACATTAGGGTCTTCTGTGGTGCTTTACAGAGGATCAGCTCAGGACCTTTTTAATTCACTATACTTCAACAGCAAATGACACTGGGACTTTAATGAAAACACCCAAGTGCCTCCCAAGGAAAACTTCAGAATAGGAATGCACTCTTTAGAAAGACAACAGAAGAGCTGGGTGTGGTGGAGCATGCTTTTAATCCCAGCACTCAGGAGGCAGAGGCAGATGGATCTCTGTGAGTTCAAGGCTGGCCTAGTCTACATAAGGACAGCTGGGGTTACAGGGAGACCCTGTCTCAAAAAACTAAAAAAAAAAAAAAAGAGTTCTTTCACTTTTCCCCATATATCCAGATCAGTATATTATTGTCCATCTACTGGAACATGAATTTCCTTCATAACCTTATGATTCATCCAGCTCACACATACCCAGATCATTGCATTATACCCTATTAATTCTCACCCCCATCCTAGCCTCTAACCTAAGTATAAGGCTCATGTATCCTGAAGGATGAAGCAAGGGGCACTGTAAGTCTCTGGAGAGTTTTTGGTTGCTTTTTTATTTGAAGTATTAGTGCTTTGGTATACCTGCAAACTTCAGGTTATAGGGACTGCAAAAAGATCACATCTTGGAGCTGGAGAGGTGGCTCAGCGGTTAAGAGCATTGGCTGCTCTTGCATAGGACCCAGGTTTGGATCCCACCACCCACATGACCACTAACAACTGTCCTAACTCCAGCTCCAGGGACTCCAACACCTTCTTCTGACCTCCTCAGGCACTGCATGACATGGGTGCATGTACACACGTGCAGGTATAAAACTCATACACATAGAAAATAAATAAAGAAAATATTAAAGAAAAAAAAGATCACAGATCTTATAGTCAATCCTAGATTTATAAGGGATGGCAAGAATTAGAAAAGATTTCCCCAGATTATTCAGGCCAATTCACTGGCAATACAAAACAAGTAAAAGCTTTAAGAAGTCACTGCACAGCTGGTGCTTCTCTCGTGCAGGATCTCCCAAGGACCTGATGAGGCACTGAACAGGAAGAAATCTCAAAATAAGTGACATTTTAAAATAAGATCCTCTGAGTCTATGAGCTGAATTTACAAAAAAATTGCCTTTAAAAACCACAGGATAGCTAGTGTGGGGGCACACATTTATGGAGGCAGGAGGATCAAGAATTCAAGGTCATTCTCAGCTACACAGGGACTCTGGACCCAGTCTAGGCAAGGAGACCCTGTCTCAAAAAGATAAAAACAATTAGCTGAGGACACAGTTCAGTAGCAGACTGCTTGCTCAGCATGTGTGAGGCCCCAGTTTTACTATCTACCATAGCAGGGATCGGGGAGAGAGACAGGACAGACACTTCAGAATATAATTTACATAAAATCAAGATGCTGATATTGTTTGACAGATTATGTACGCTTCTTACCATCTCCATTTGGCAACCAATGGCTTCTAAAAGTGCAGAATCCTGAACAATATTTAACATGGCCCCTGCAATAGCAAAACAAAGCATTTTATGTGATATACAGTAAAATGGCTCGCAACTAAGAGCAAAGATAGAATATGATTTTGGAGCCAAGAATGTTGAACAAATTTCTACCTTGAGGCAGAAAGACTGCTGCCAGTGTGAAGCCAGCCTGGGATACACAGCAACTACCAGGTCGGTAAAGGGTATGTAGCAAGACCCTGTGTCACCCACCGCCCCCACCAAAAAAAAACACAGAAAAGGAAAAAAAAAGTTTTGGTGGAACATTCCTGAAATTCTCTAAAGATTGCTAACATACACAATCATAGGTCAGAAAAGATACTCTAGAAATCTCCAAATTCTGATATGCTTCCAAAGTTTTTTATTTATTACGGTGTATATGGGGGATGCAGGTGTGTGCATGTCACAAAATGTGTGTGGAACTCAGAGAACAACTTTCAGGAGTCAGTTATCTTCCACAGTGGAATCCAGAGACTGAACTCAGGTCATCGTCTTGTACAGCAAGTACTTTTAGCTAATGAGTCATTTTGCCCTTGCCTTCAAGGTTGTAGAACTCCTACTTCTGAAATAAATCTGAAAGTCAAACTTCATTTTTCACAAAAACATGCTCAACCAGGGACATGTTAGTGGTGAAGCACTTACTTAGCATGGTCAAGACCCTGCGTTTGAGCTCCCAATGCCAAAAGAAAAACAAAATCAAAAACCAATTTTTGCTCAACCAGGCATGGGTGGCTCATTCCTGCAATCCCAGCACTTGGAGGCCTAGGCAGAAGGATTGAGAGTCCAAGAACAGGCTGATCTACAAGGTAAGGCTCTGTCTTAAAAACCAAACAATAAATGCTCATTGTCAGATTTTGTTTGTTTACTTGAGACAGGATCTAATTATATAGTCCTGGCTAGCTTGGAACTTGCTATGTAGGCCAGGCTAGCCTCAAACTCAGAGATCCAACCACCTCTGCCTCCCAATTGCTAGGAGCCACCACACCTGGCTCTTATTCTCAGCTATTTTTCAACTGATGCAAAAGCCATGTGTAAGTTGGACATGGTTCGTACAAGGAGCAGTTGGGAGACTGCAACAGAACAGCATGGGTTGGAGGCCACAGTGAGAACTGGTCTTGGAGGGAGAAAGGGAAGGAGGGAGAGAGGGAGGAAGGGAGGGAGGGAGGGAGGGAGGGAGAGAGGGAGAGGGCAGGAGGGAAGGAGATATAAATATATAAACTTCAAGAGTAATACAAACTAAGATGAAAATCATGTGATATTTTTAAGACCAGGATGTGGTCTTCTAGAAATAAAACAATATAATAAAATAACCAAGCACCTATACCTTTCTGATCATACAAGGGTATGATAATGTTTAAAGATAGGGTCTTCATAGGTCAGAGTGAGGAATATAGATTTTTATTCTAAGTGCAATGGTCTATCACTGGTATTGAGATTGGCATCATCAAACTTATTCTTTAGAACAATAATTCTGTTGTAAGTAGGGAGGATAAACTCTATGGGGACAAGAAAGCAAGCAAAGAGATCGGGTTGGAAGTTACAGTAACAACATCATTAAAAGGTGAGTAGTTTAGACAAGGATTCCAGAAATGAAATGGTAAGGTTGGTCAGGATATATTTTGGAAGGAATATAGACAGAACTTAAGAGTAGACTTAGCTATGTGATAAGAGAAAGAGAAAGACAGATGATTCTCAGGTTATTGTTGGGGCAATGAGGTATATATGGAGAAGCCATTTATTGACATGAGAACAGATCTCCAGTAAAGAACAGATCTAAGGCAAAGATGTAGGAGGAAGGCAAGACAGGACTGAGTTGCCTTTCAGATATCCAAGTGGAGACAGCAAAAAGGCAGTTAGCTAGCAACATATCTGACCTGAATGGTCTAGGCTGGAGCACACATATATGGTACCAGTATATTCATGATAATGGAAGTCATGGAGCTGAGACCAACTAGGCCAAGAAGTTCAAGAACATTCTGAGGGCTTCCCACACTTTGCTATCTGGCAAGAGAAAGAACCAGCAATAGACACAGAAGAGGAAGGACCAATGAGATAAAATTAAAACAAGGCTAGTATGGTATGATGGGGCCTCCACAAAAGTGCTCCAAGGATACAGTTAGTGGGCAACTTAGCCAAGTACTGCTAAGAGGCAAAGGAAGATGGTGGCAACAACCTGACCCCCAGTTCTAGGAAGATAGAGTTCACTGGGAACTTTGACAGGAGTTGATTCAGTAGAGCCAGAAGGACAAAATACCTATCCTAATGAGCCAAAAGGAGAATGAATGAAAGGCAGGCAAAGTGAGCCTGGAAGACAGAACAGTTTTCATTTGAAGGGTAGCAAGAATGGGACAACAGCTAGAGGAGGTATATTTTAAGATTTCTTCTTTTTACTTATGCCTGTGCATGTACATACAGATGCCCATGGAGGTGAGAAGAGGGTGTCAGAACCCCTGGAGCTGAAGTGACATGCAGTTATGAGTCACCTGGTATGGTTGCTGGGAACCAAACGCAGATCCTATACAAGAGCATCAAGCACTTTTAACCCCTGAAACACAGAGAACTATTTTATGAGAGTATTAGAGAGCATATGTGTATGTCAGTATGAATAATTTAGTAAGTAGAAGCCAATGAAAAGAGTGAGGCTTTGAGAAGGTCAAGAGAAAATGGCTGAGTGCCACCTGGGCTACTTCTGTCCCCACCTCATACTACCTACACCCTTATCTCTTAATTCTGAGCATCCTCACTTCAAGTCCTTTGTGGCTTATCTCTTTTCCCTCTATCTGACATTCTTCATCCTGGGCATGGCTTGCTTCCTTACATTCTCAGCAAGATCTGCCATGGCAATCTGATCACAACTGAACAGCTAGCTGCCACAGCATGTGCACACAAAGAGCTGCCATAGCATGTGCACACAAAGAGCTGCCACAGCATGTGCACACAAAGAGACTTTCTATTTTTTTAAAAAAATATTTATTTTCATTTTATGTATATGTGTGTATTGCCTACATGTAGGTAAGTGTACCTGTGTCATGCAATGCCTGTGGAGGACAGAAGAGGCTGTTGGATTCCCTGGAACTGGAGTTACGGACAGTTGTTTGCTGCCATGTGGTAACTGGGATTCAAACCCAGGTATTCTGCAAGAACGACCAGCATTCTTAACCACTAAGCCTTCTCTCCAGCCTCTGAGCCCTTCTCTTACCTCTCTCCTTACTGTGATTATTGTTTGCTCCTTGCTATCACCAGAATGACTTCTGTCTACTTTGTTTCCTGCTGCATCCCAGATCCAGGATGGTGCCTGGCATATAACACACATCAGAACTTAAATATTTGAAAGAAGAGGAAGAAGTGTTGGTAGGTTGCACGTTTGCAGGTAGTTGTCTATCATTCACTATTTATTCCACCATCTCACTGCCTAACATACCACTTCCTAAGTACTGACATCATCATTATGGCCATGTCATTTCTCCTGCTGAAATGAAATGCTAATCCCATTTCTGCCTGTTCAAAATGTAAGATCCCACTAGACTTTAAAGAGCCAATATCACTCCCACTTCTCTTTCTGAAGTCTTCTCTGCCCTTTGGTTTCTTCTCTCAACTTTGAGGACACAGCATGGCATGCCTCCTGCCATCATGGGACTGCTGTGCGAGCAGCCACGGATACAGCAATCAAACAGAGAAGTGATGGGGAACTAAACTATAACAGCAACCATGTGGTGTGAAGAGATGATTAAGAGACCATAGAAAGTCATAGGGAGAGGGAGAAAATGCCAACTACTAGTTCTTGGGCACAGAGTTGGACTGACTTCCAGAATTACACCCAACCCCAAAGCTTTTCGCATGAGAGTGACGGGCAGAGGAGGAAGAAAAGGAGGAGAAAGAGGCAAAGTAAGGGCAGAAGAGAGGAGAAAAGAGAAAGAAGAAAGAAAAGAAAAAGGATGGGAGACAGGGACAAAAAAACCACAAAAAGTATAAAAAAAACTAACCAAGACAACTAAAATGCTTTCCTTCCCTCATTTCATGCCCTTAAATGCTTTTTTTTTTTTGTCTTTTTGAGACAGGATCTCCCTGTAGCCCCAGCTGTCCTGGAACTCACTATGTACACCAGGCTGCCTTGAACCCACAGAGATCAGCCTCCCGAGTGCTGGGATTAAAGGCGTGCACCACCATGCCTGGTTTTTAAAAAATTATTTATGGTGGGGCTTGGTGGCGCACGCCTTTAGTCCTAGCACCTGGGAGGCAAAGGCAGGCGGATCTTTGTGAGTTCAAGGCCAGCCTGATCTACATAGTGAGTTCAGGTCAGCTGGACTACAGGGAGACCCTGTTTTAAAAAGGCAAAATATATATATATATTTTTTTTATTACTTTATTACTATTTATTTGTTTGTTTGTTTGTTTGACCTGGGCATGTGCATGCCATGGCACATGTGTGGAGGTCAGAGGACAACTTGTAGGAGTCAGTTCTCTCCTTCTACCATGTAGGTCTTGGGGATCAAACTCAGGTCTATCCGGCTTGGTGGCAAGTGCCTTTACCCATTTTGCCACCTCACCAACTCCCTTTAAATCCTGTTACATTAAAAAGCAAATAAACTAGGGTGGGAGAGATGGCTCAGAGGTTAAGAACACTGACTGTTCTTGCAGAATACCCAGGTTCAAATCCCAGCACCCACATGGCAGCTAACAACTGTCTGTAACTCCAGTTCCAGGGGATCCGGCAGCCTCTCCTGTCCTCAGCAGGCATTGCACGACACGGGTGCACTTACATATGGGCATAACACTCAGACACATAAAATTTTAAAAATATATATATTTTTTAAAAAAGGCAAATAAACTCTACTTCTGACTCAGAATAATAAGAGTTGCATTAGGCTTAGGCTCCTCTCACCCATCTCCCCAGCATGCCTGGGGTCATTAGTACCTGGCTTTCACATACAAAAAAATTGTAAGGACACAAACCTAGTATCATTTGAGTGTTGTTAGGGTCCGTTTCTGTTTGCAAGGCACCTATTAGTATATTCACAAGTCTCAACTTCAGGGATAGAAAGGTTATTGGTTTATCATAAGAAGAGCTGTCATCATTACTAAACTTTCCTTCTAGGACCACCTGTGGAAAAAACAAATAATAGTATAATATTTAACATCAGCTGCTATGGTATATGATGCCCATGTAAGAATAGCAGGAGGAGACAAGATGATCCAGGCTTCCATTCTAATTCTAGCTCTGATTCAACATCTGTAGTCAGAGGCTGTTAGCCTACAATCACATGAATAACAGGCCAAGGCTTGATGGCACTTCAAAAGAAGAAATATCCAAACACAGTCACTTCATCAATCCATTTGAAATCTTTATTATTTTTTCCTTTTGGAAACAATATCTCACTGGTTGGCCTGGAGCACCTTATGTAGATCAGGCTGGCCTCAAACTCACAGAAGTCCTCCTGCCTCTGCTTTCTGAGTGCTAGGACTAAGGACTTGCACTACCATGTCCCACTTTGAAATCAGTATTTTAGGCAAAGGTTCTACCACTGTGTTATGCCCCAAGCCCTGAAGTCATCTTTTGAAAGGCCTTGTTTCATTTTGTTAAAAATACAATTTAACTTAAATTAGCACATAAAAATAGAACACAGAATATGACAAAAACAAAATGAAAATAAAAACCTTTAATAATGACTAGACATGAAGGTGCACACCTTTAAACCCAGCACTTGGGATGCAGAGGCAGGTGGATCTCTGTGAGTTGGAGGGCAGCCTGGTCTACACAGAGAGTTCCAGGCCAGCTGGGGCTACAGGGAGACCCTGTCTCAACAAAGACCAAAATAATAATAATAATAATAATAATAATAATAAATTTAAAAATTAAAAAAATATATTTAATAATGGTTGATCAGGATGAAGAGACAGAAGGATTATAGTAAGTTTGCAGACAAACTGAGCTGCCTAGCAAGACCCTGTCTCAAAGGGGGTAAAAAAGGAAGGGACGGAGAGAAATAAATTATTATTACTATTATTATTATTATTATTTTGGGTGGGGTCTTTTTGAGAAAGGGTTTCCCTGCAGCCCCAGCTGGCCTGGAACTCACTATGTAGACCAGGCTGGCCTGGAATTCACAGAGATCCACCTGCCTTTGCCTCCTAAGTGCTGGAATTAAAGGCATGTGCCACCATGCCTGGTGAGAAATAAATTCTTTAAAGAAATATTACCTCAGATCTGACTGTGCCAAAATGATGAGGGAGGGGTAACAAAGAAAGCAGGATATTAATGGAGGATCTTCTCAATTCTGTTGGATTTACATAGCTTTTGAATTTTGAGAGTTCTCTGCCAAAAAATAAAAAGCTATTAGTATTTTCCAGAAAAAGAACACTTTCGGCTATTGCCAAGTTTATTCTATGACAATTATTTTCACAGCCCAAGCATTATATGTATATGAAAATATAAGTATATTCTACTATTACTGAGTTAAACAAGACTTTGATTTATTTTAAATGTAAGGCACACTTCATAAAAGTAGGATATCAGGCTAGGCTTTCTCTGACCCATCTAGACCAAGCCAAAAATTATCCAGTAAGCCCCAAGGCAAACCACAACTGAAGGCATCCAGAGATTGGGTGGGTTTGGATGCTCTTTACTCAATTTAATGTGGACTGCGAAAACAAATGGACAGGATGAACTGGGAAATAGGAGGAAGCCCCCAAACAGACCAGGCCAAACCAGACAACTGACACAGTAGAGAATGACAGCTTACCTGTCAGGCAAAATGGTTTCAAGAGCTGAAATAAAGTAAGGAACCACAACATCAATCCCTTTCAAGTCACAGCAGAACAAAGGAGGGGAGTTTAGAATAACGCTGGCCAAGACAGGATGGCATACATAATCATTTATCTGCAAACCTTGAATTAAAAGCATGTAAAATCTAGGAAAGCAAGAAAAAAAATTTAAACAAACTGCTGATCAAAAGTTTCCAGAATCATTAATATTTCTACACAGGTATCTGAAGTCTTTTCCTACTCTTCACTATTTCTAGCCTATAAAGAGTATCATCTACACAAAGGACGAAATCATTTTTCCTCTAAATCATTTTTCCTAATGAGGAAAGAAGATCCATGTCTAAAACACATTCTTAAAGTTTCAAACCTTCAGAAATCAAAGTTATGAGTGCCTGGAGACAAGGCAATCACAACAGAACGAATGACTGGGTGCTTATCCACAGACTGCTGGAGTCACTAATTCGAATTCTACAGCAGTAAAATGTGTAATTTCACAATCTTAGGAAATAGAAGTGTGCTTGTATCGTTTTATCGTTTTTTCCTTCCTTAACTGTTTCTGAAGGGACAAGAAAGGATCCTCATTAAACTCTGCACTCGTCACATTATGAATGTCACTCTAAGTAAGAGTCCTTTGAGGAATATGCCTGGATAGATCTTTTACTGCCACCCCAAACACTGTGGACTCACTAAGTATTCAATCACCTGTTACTCAAGAGCAGCTATACTGGCTACTCTTCTACTACTGTGAGACACTTTTCTCTTCTATGCAAAAATCTTTGGAAACAATTTCCTCACTTACTGCTGCCTGCTCAACATGTTTCAATCTACCATCCAGAGTCTGAACTCAAAGTAGGTACTTAATATAGATTATTGATGAATATCCTACAGGCTTTTCAAATGTAATAGACCAAAAACTAAATTCATCATTTGCCTTCTCACAGATGTTTAGTTTGTCACATGACCTCTCATCCAGTCTTCTGGACTATACATGAAGCTCATGTTCAAAGCCTTCTCCTTTACTGCTACTGACACAACTGGAGAATCTCTTCAGCCCATGGTCTCCCTCAGTGAAATGGACCCTCCTCATGACATGTAAACACCAATGCCCTATGTAACCTATCCTCACAGCTATACTAGAGCAGAGACGGACGTCTAATTCATCAGATCTTCTTTCCCAAGAATCTCACATTAATTCAGAGAAGCTAACTGATCCTACTGATCTAGACTGAAGCTATGAACCTAGGAACTTAGAAACACCCTGCAGTATAAATAAGAAAAATGATCTGCAGAGAAGAATGAAGCAGTTCTGGGAGACAGGCACAGAAAGGAGGAAAGTTGTTTGGTGCCTAAACACTTTCCAGTCTGTGGTTCCTGCTTTTTATAAAGGCTCGCTGCACTTCTTGATCTTAGAATTTATTAAATATCACTAGCTTCTCAAAATTTATTCCCTCTGGCTTAAACCAGACTTAAAAACAAGAGCCCTGGGGCTGGAGAGATGTCTGAGCAGTTAAGAGTACTAGCTGCACCTGCAGAGGACTCAGGTTCAATTCCCAGCACCAACACGGAGATGTCTGAGCAGTTAAGAGTACTAGCTGCACCTGCAGAGGACTCAGGTTCAATTCCCAGCACCAACATGTCGGCTAACAACTGTCTATACCTTTAGTTCTAGGGGATTCAATGCCCTCTTTTGGCCTCCACAGGCATTGCATGACACAGGCGCATTTACATACATGCACTCCTACACATAAAATAAAAATAAAATAAACTGGGCATGGTGGCGCACACCTTTAATCCCAGCACTCAGGAGGCAGAGGCAGGCAGAGCTCTGTGAGTTCAAGGCCAGCCTGGTCTATGTAGTGAGTTCCAGGACAGCTGGGGCTACAGGGAGACCCTGTCTCAAAAAGACCAAAAAAATAAATAAAATAATAAAAATGTTCTGCATTCCAGGACAGCCAGGGATACAGGGAGACCCTGTCTCAAAAAGACAAAAAAAAAAAAAAAAAAAAAAAAAAAAAAAAAAAAAAATTCCCATAGCTAACAAAAGAAAACAAAAACAACAACAAAAAGATTCCCCTGACCAGTTCCCTGTATACACTCTGCTTTTCCTTGGCTTAGTTTCAATACTCGGTTTCCCCTGTTAAATCATTCTCAAGCTCTCCTAAGAGCCTAGCAGGTACAGTTATTTAAATGTGCTGGATTATAGTACTCTTAATCTTACTTCAGCAGTCGTTTAAATGATTAGCAGGGAAAAGCAAAGTAGAATCAAGAATTCAAAATTCAGAAGAAAAATAACAGGTCTTAAGCGTCATGATGAGAAAAGTGTGGAAAGAGAAATAAGAGAATTAGATACTATAAAGGCAGGAGTTAGTCAATCAACTAAAGGTACAGAGGAAACTGAGGCTACCGACTCTTAGTTTATGGCCTGAGCAGCTAAACGGATAGTAGAGCCATTCACAAAGATAGTGGAAGCCTGAGACTTGGAAAACAATGCTATACAACTTCCTGTCTAGACACTGCCCATCCTTTCTAAGAGCAGCAGAAGCGCCCGGTCTTATGCCAGAACTCTTTCCTGAGCCCTCTACAGTATGAACTGCTTCTTCCTCCAAACACCCAAGGCCCTGCACTCGAGCCTCCCCTGCCATGGTTCCTACCAAATCACTGCTGTTTTGTATGAACTTACACACCCCAGGTACTAAGCTCCTCAAATAAGGATTCACAGCTGACTTATTTCTAGATTGTGCCAAAAATCTATTAACAAATTACTGTGATACTATCAAATCTCTCCAGAATTAATAAAAGAAGAATGAATGAATAATACTTCTAGAATAAGAGTCTTAGAGGTCTTTACCAGATCTGACAAGTAAAATGGAAGAATTCAAGCAACTCTGAATTACACACAAACATTGGCAGGTACTTCAAACCAACATTTACTTATTAATTCAGCCTACCAAGCTCATGCCACAATACTGTTTCACTAGCAAACTATATAAATGCAAAAATTAACAAAAAACTCTAAGACCTGGATAAATAAGCTGGCAGAATCTCTTCTCCAGTCTTCTTGCTACAAAAAATCCTACACAGTGTCCCACAAGCCTCAGCTCTTCCTGCTTCATAGTTATCAGGAAATTCACTTGCATCAAACATAGGATTGGAAACCATGGTGTCTGTGGACATTTGAGACCCTTTCCGGCGAAACTCCATGCTAGCTTGTGTTGCAATGGCTGGGGAAAGAAAAGGAGGATTTATTATATTTGTCAATATGTCAAATAGGCTCATGGGACCCTGGACACAAAGATCAAATATTGGTGTCATTAAGTATCTACTTAATAGAATCCAATAATGCTTTTGTTTAGCAACTATGTCTTTATTTTTTAAAAAGGGCTCTCTGAAATCTTCTTTGAAAATGGGTAACAATTAATTTATAATAGCATTGTCAGCTTAACAGACTCTACAAAAAGCATTTTCAACTGAATTTCTGATCAAAAGACTATATATATATATATATCTGTATTTACATACAGATATA